AAACAGCAATCATCTTCGCCAGGGCCTTCAAGGTTTCATGTCAAACTCAATTTAGTAATAAGAGCTAAAACAACAAGTAAACTATTTGCGTAGAACATTAATTCCCATTTAGCTAAAACAGCAAGTAAACTATTTGCGTAGAACATTAATTCCCATTTACCTTTGTACCGTAATTGACAGCATCTTCCAACTTCCCCTTGTCTAATGCAATCTTGGATGATTCAAGTAGAGTTCGTCCGTCAGCAGATGAGCACCCGACATTCTGTAAAAATGGTTAAAAGAAAAATACTATGATATGAAGCCTTGGTTACAAAAGCAAACTAAAGCCATCTTCATTTTCATAGTTATTTACTCCCTACCTTGCAGATTGGCACTATGCTGATGATATCAGACTTCGTAAATGGAGCAGAGCTTTCCAGATCATAGTCCCTAGGGGCCAACTCCAATCCAACCTGAAAAGGAGGAAATCATTAAATTTTTTTCAAGTCATTAAGTATTATATGAAATTTACTTCTATCAGTACCTTGTGACAAAGTCCCCTAAGGATAGATAACTTTCTCAGGTGTTGGAATTCATCTTGCAGTTTCCAACCGAACCGTTTCTCCAAAAATGCTCGTAGCCATTGCAATTTGAGAGCTTGATCATCTTTAACATTACAAGACCCAAGCAAAAAATTTAAGGTTGTGGCTATAGCAGTGGACATGCTCTCTATGCTCCCAACAGAAGCAATAACAGCTCGAACCACATGCTTAAAAGCTCGAGTAACCATTTCATGAATACAGAGAGACTGTATGTGAGGAAGCTTATCTGCAAGTTCCACCTGGTTCAAGCAGTTGAATTAAAATATAAGTTTAATTACAGAAAAAGCCAATTGAGAGCATCTGCTTGCACACATACATACACACACACAAAAGAGGGAGAAAGAGAGTCAGAGATTGTTCATAGTTCACCCACCACACAACCTAAAGAGCGCATCTGTAAGCCTCTAAGATGCATAAAGTCGGTCAGCGTACGGCCATCAACTGGAGAAAGTTCGAGTGATGCAAAATCTGTTACCTGCAATAAAAATAATAAAAAGAAAAAAAGAGATTAAAAAAGTTGACAGGCAACTATGACATTATTACTTCATCAATCAAGTTGAAAGAAATGTTACCAGCTTAGGTAAAGCAACATCTTTATAATACTCATGTGCCATCTTGACCAGTTCATCCGCTGACTGCATGTTGAAACATTTGACCATAAATATATATATGCAATAAGACTAAATTGTAAATGAAAATATCGAGAATAATTTTTACTTAAAAAAAAAAAAAAAAGATAAAACATACCTTTGTGTGAAGGTCCAGTCCAGTTTCTTTCAAGCGTAAAAAGGCCTCTTCAGAAACGTGATTCAGCAACTCAAAATTCTTACTACAAGTTTTCATTTCCCCAGTTTCGTTTTCTGTGTTTAGGTCGACAGATTCATCGTGAAATTCTTCATCCTTCTCACTTGCAGTGGGTATTCTCTTGTCCCTCTTCTTTAGCAGTTTAAATTGTTTCCCGAGTCCTTTAACCTCCGGCTCAGCCTTATTGCTATCCTTAGGACTTCCAGAATTGTTAACTTCTGGCGTTTCCTGCTTCTGGAGATGCTGCAACCAACAAGAACCGAGTTCCCATCTAAAACAGCTTTCTGTTGTGGGAGTATTATTCTCTAGCCTCGTCAGACAATCTTTTATTACTTTCTGAACGCATCCAGAATTTTCAGCATCTATCAGTTCTGACTGAACTCTGACTGGTGATTCAGCACATGGCTTGTTTAGCATCATTCGTAAACTGTACAACATTGCAGATTAGTCCACTTGGTGTGCAGACAGAAACACAAAAACTTTGGCATAATCGTCATCATTCATTTCATAGTATGCATAAACTATAGTTTTTATCTTCTAGAGGCAATATACAAATTCAGCGGTTTTAATATTACGTTTGTCAATTTTTATGAGAATATAAGACACGCCAGAAGGACACAAAAAGGGAAGAATCAAAACTTAAATATGACAAATTTTGAGCCAACAATTTTGTTCTAAACAGCAAAACATGCTTATAAGGTATGACACGGAAAAAATATGTTTCTCATCAAGTAATCTTTTGGAAATCCTAGAATTTGATGAATATACACTGTCATCTACTCGCTACCTAATGCTCATCATGGACAAAGATAGCAAGTTCAAGCATAGAATCTATCTAGCTTTTACAGTTACCATGGATGCAAACAGCTTCAAAATGAAAAGGAGCCCATTCAACAAAAAATGCATAATGATTCATCACCATCATATCTCTACTAAACATAGCCTTTTCTCTCTACATGATATAGCAACGGCAACAAAAACCTGTTAATATTGAGTGCATTAGCCCCGCCATCCGGCTGGTCCTCAATGTCGATATCTTGTGAAAGACTCCTTCCTTTTTTCACATCTCCAACCACCTTGACAGTTGCACTGTAGCCACAATGTCTAACTACTACAACACCTAATGAGGAAGTATCCTGCAAACAAGGGCAATTGTTTCACTCTCACAGGAACAAAAAAAAAAAGTATCACTAGCTAGGGAAGGGATGTTAATTACTGCAGATTCTATTTTATACTTAGATGACAGTAGATAAGTAGAAGGCAGAGTCAATGGCCATTCAATGGCCATTATTGGCAACTCACAGTTTGGCATCTGGTTGAAGAAATTTAATTCCTTAAAGGTAATCAGAAGAACATGGCGATTAAGGAATTCAACGTTTAACAAGGAAAATTAGAGAAACAGAAAATAAAGAAGTTCATATATTGTAGGCATCAGAATGTATCAGAATGAGACATGAGCATTGGGTGACCCATTAGGAGATTTAATCCTCTACCAGAATTATGGGACTCTGTTGGAAGAGATACGGAATTACTAAATTTGATATATATATACAGGAAAGTCACAAGATTGGACATGATATTTTGAAATTCTGCCCCACCTTAAAGTTTTGAGTGCTTGAAGAATATAGAGCAGTAAATAACACTACAACGTCAGGCGATCGTGTAAGATTTAGGCAAGTGACCAGTTCACAGTACTACGAAAAATGACAACGTACAAAGTAGATGTAAAGTCTGATTCTCAAATGCAAGAATCCAAGAACTAGAATCATTCCCCTCTATTAATGCACCGATTAAGATTTATTTCAAATGATTTGCCACCAAAAAGAATAAACAAAAATCCAAACGTGGGTAGAAGAGTTTGAAACTACTCACGTGCACAACCACACTTTCATCGGCAGTCACTCCTTTAAGCAGGTTCCTCCGGGAAACTTCTCCAACAGACTCATCAGACATTCTACCACCAACAATCTTCACCTCCCCTTTCGAGGCCGCATCCGCCTCGTCTCTTTTGATAGTAATCAACATATCCCCGACTCGACTCTCGTGCACGACTGAACCCGGGTGAAACTCCCCCACACCACCCTTCCCGGCACAATACACAGCCTTCTGTATGTCTGAGACCCCTTTAAGAATGGCAACATCCAGAAAGAGATTATGAACCAGAAATGCCTTCCTGTCCCGAACCACTCTTTCCTCGTCAGTCTTGCATGGCATGTTGGCCAGGATGGCGAAATCTGTTGCCCACGGCCTCTGGTCATGCTCTCCTAATCTCCCCTGGCCTCCACCGTTTCCTCCCCAACTCTCATCCTCTGCTGGTAGAGGCACATATTTCAATGTTGAGTCGGTAATGGAAGGAGGGGCAAGCCAGGTGTTTGCACGGAAGGCGTATGGGAGGTTACCAAACTGAAAGAGTAGAAAAAGAAACTCATTTTCCTTCTTTTAATGTCACCAAGATTCAGAAATAACTACTTATGGCAATTCAGAAAAAAAAAATAAAAATGTTACCTTATTGTGTTCGACGAATGATTTCATTAAGGATGCGTATGCCTACACACAAAATGTTTGACATTGGTTAGAGTTTTAGACGGGAACACTCAGTATAATTGTCTGAGCCAGCTAAACACTTGTTGGCTGAGCAAAAACTTCTGCCGAACATTAGCACTAGATTTTGAGGAACAAAAGCACGTCAAAATTACCCACATTTGCAAAAGCTTGGCTTTGCTGTTGCAGAAGATCTACCAAAGAGTGGCTCTGCAGAAATTGTTTCCCTAAAGTGTAGAACCCTTTGGCTGATGCCATCACGTTTATTATCTTCCCATTGCATATCTTTATCTGCAACCACGATCATTAGTAGTGAAAAGCTCAGCACAACTCACAGCTGATGAATTACTGAAACATTGAACATTTGCACAACTCACCTGCATTTCGAAATAATCGCCGTCCCGCAGCTTCTCTCCAATTTTACTTTCGACCCTTTTCAAATCTGCAGATTTCAAAAGCCAATAAGTTATATGATAAAAGGGAAGAGAGCATAAAGCTGAAAGCTAACAGGAGAAAGCGAGGAAGAAACTGTACGCACGCAGAATGGGTGGAGAGAGGTTCGAGAAAGAGAAGAACTCGTAGAAATCCGAAAGTTTCGGAATCGGCTGAATGGCCACCATGTCGTAGACCGGGGAAATCGCCGGCGGCGGAGTTTCCGTCGACCGCGATTCTCCGCCCGACGCGGCTGTCGCCGACGCCGCCGTGCTCCTCTGCGCTTTACTTTTTTTCTGACGAGACTCTGCGCCGCCGCCGCCGCCGCCGCCGCCCTTGGGCTTGGAGAAGCGTGTCGTGCACGCGACGATGTCGAGAAGCCTTCGAACGTGGGACACGGCGCGTGACTCATCCGCGTAATCCTCTGCGTCGACAGTGGCAGAATTGTTATTAAAGGTGCGTTGTGGGGGCAATTAATTATACAATGTTTGTGCACCAATAGTTGGGGGCAATAATATCATATGTGTGGGTGCACCAGTAGGCCATTATTGACGGTGATAGAATGGAGATGCATAGAATGAAAACATGGTACGCGGATCACGTGTCGGATATAATAATTAAAATAAAAAAATCACCTTGGTAATCGCTTCCTTTTAATTATTAATTAACCCTTTGATAAATATTATTTACAAAAAAAATTATGTTATTATATTAATTTCATATAATAACGAATCTAATAAATTGTATTTTTACAACACGGATATTAACTTTATTCACATTTTCCATTTTTATAAAATACCGAAGATAAATAATTTAAAATCAAATAAAATAAATTCTTAAATTGGAAATGACCAACTTAACCTCAAGTGGCAAATGACCCATTTTTATTAGTTACTACATGACTAAAAATTGTCAATATTTATTACGGGCGGCTAAGCTGTTTGAGAGGTTTTAATATATGTTGCCCAATTAAAAAATAAAAATAAAAAAAATCTAAGAACGTTGGAAACGAACATCTAACTAAATATATAAACCCATGCGTTTAGACCTATGAATGAATAACCAAATTGGGAATCTCAAATATTTTTTAACCAATTTTATATGTGCTGCCATTATATTTTATAAGGCTTGAAAAAACCATAAGACTACGATCCCTATATATTAGTTCAGAACGTGCTGACATTAAGTGGCAGGCTTGCATGTTTCGGGATCTTATGTGACAAAATTACATGTTTCGTTGTTAGACTTGAGTAGATTTTAATTTACTTCCAATCCAAAAATAATTAGGTCTGAATTATCAAATAATTAGGTCTGGATTATCATTTTAAAAGTTAATAACTTTTGTATTGTTTATCATTTTTACATATATCATATATAAAATTAATAATCTCTTGATGAATTTCGATTTTACATCTATGTTGTATGTATAAAAAAATAAATTATATTTATCTTTACAACGATAATAATTTTTTTAATATTAATTAGAGAAATAAAATTATTGTGTAATAAAATTAATTATCTATTGATGAACTTCAATTTAATATCCATATATAATAAAAAAATGAACAAACACTCGTGTAATACACGAGTGTTGTACTAGCATTGTATTGTTTGTAAACGGCTTAACCATTATGCAACATATTCTTTTCACAAATTTATATAACTCTATCAAGAAAATATCATAATTTAAAATATAGGTCAAAATGATTTTTTTTTTTTTTTTTTTACGAAAGGATAGATTGAATAACACTCAAAGACGATAATACAATGTTCGGGGGTTAACTAACCCAGTTGGGGATGCTTGGATATAAGAAATTTTGTACTTGTTTTGATTTTTTTGTTTGGTTTAGTTAATTTTGAAAATGTAGTATGGTTAGCTTTAGTGGTACATTAAAATATTATATTTAAATAATATTTAAAATATAATAATTAAAATTGATTTGATATAAAAGTATGAGAGAAATTATTAGAAGTGATTGTTAGTTAAAATTATACGAATAGATGAATAGTGAATTAATGTTGATGTGACGTGTAAGAATGATTTGTTGATATTATTTAATAATATTAGTTATCGTGAGATTGGGTTATAATTGAGTTAAAAAAATATTTGGATTTTTTGGATAAGTTTTGTATCCAAGCATCCTCTAAGTGACCTCGCAAAAAGTTTAATAATGTAACATTTGAAAGTTGTAGTAAAGAATCTGAACCGACTTTGGAAGATCTTATTATGCCTATGCTCAAAATAGAAACAATCTATTAAAATATGTCCAAAAGCTTTCTCGAAATGCCGCATTAAAGTTAAACCAAAAAAATAGATTGCGCAATTAGATGAGCTTTAATTTATATAATAATTTATTTGTACAAGAGACCAAATAAAATATTACTAAAAAAAAGGAAATTTGAGAATTTTAAATCAATATGAAATATATATATATATATAGTAAAAACTCAATTTTGAAAACAGTGAAAATAATAATTGGACATGATTGAAGAAATCTGAGCAATTAAACAATTTTAAATTTTTTTAAAATTATATAATAATAATAATTTATATTATTAATTCACTAAATAAATAGTATTAGTATTTTTTTATCTTTTATGAGTGATTGTGTGCAGTGGCAGTCTGATTTCATTTGTTTTATTCACTGACCCGATTCCAAATAGACGAAAGGCTTTTGACTTTCCTTTGTAACATAATAAATAATTAAATATTCCAACTTGGCCACAGACGATTAATGCAGCAGTCTAATAAATAAATAAATTCAAAATAAAAACTTTATAATATCAGTTAGTTACTAATACTAGTGTCCCAAATTGATTTGTTTGGTGCCTCACATATAATAAATTAATAGCCGTCGATATAAATACTTTTATGAGTAATAAGTTAAAAATAAGATAACTTAAAATATAAAATTTTCATATATCTAAAGATATTCACCTATGACCATCTCACACTAATTTATAGGCAACTGTATATACCATACACTTGGCATTAATAATTCACGTGAAATAATATAATGGTGTTTATATATATACGTATAGAAATAATTAAATAAACATGTAATTTGTGTCTAGAAACTATTTATATTTTATTTTTAAAATGTGACATTTGAAAGATTCTCAAATTAATTAATGTAAGCTTTATTTGGATTTTTTTTTTATTATTTATTCCGAAAATAGAAAAAGAAGATTGTACCAGCTGTTGAGAAACTTGTACCTACCTTCAACCATTCTCAGCAGGCACGGCTTGAGGCTCACAACCTCCAACTTATCACTCAATTGATGTCCCTTAACCTGTTTTTTTTTTTTTTTTCATCTCAAATAATGAATAAGTAATCAGAAAAACCACACACACACACACACACACGCACGAACACGTGTTTGTGTGTGTGAAAAAAAAAACCCGGTTCACCTCGTGAGAGAGAGAATAGTCTGTAAACTGGCACGTCTCAACATTCACAGCAAGCAGTTTCTTCACGTCCAATATCTTGTCAGTTGAGATGCCCTTTCATTTTTATTTTATTTTTTTTCCAGCAAAACATAAATAAATAAATATTTGGGGATTAATTAATGAGTTAATTAATCATAGAGAGCTCTAATTTAGATGTTTAGTTAATTAATTACCTTGAGAACAACTTGAGTTTCATAGGGGGTGACGACAGTAATGTCAACAACACTTGGAACAACTGCATAAACCAATACCAAAAAATAAAAAAAAAAAACAAATTGAAAAATTAAACAATTACAATAAAAATAAAAAAATAAATAAATTGAAGAGAAATTAAAAGAAATTCGAAATTAAAACCTTTCTCTTCTTTCTTCTTCTTCTCATTCTTATTGGCTTTGTTGTTCCCTTTGCCCCTGCTTGACCTTGGGGCCATTTTCGTCTTCAACCTTTTTTTAATTTTTTTAATTATTTTATTTTCAATTGGTGCTCTAACTAAATCGAAGGTATCTTAAGCTGAGAGATTTGGGGCAGCCATGCAAAAGAGAAAACTGAAAAGGGCGAAATTGAAAAGATTAGAGCAGAGAGGAGTTGAGAGAAAAAAAATAAATAAATAAATGTGAAAGTTTTTTTGAGAGGAGAAAATAAGGATGTAAGAAGAAGAAGAAGATAGATAGGATAAGGGGGTAGTGTGGCCTTATGGGGTTTACTAGGATTTTGCTCTAACAATTTCTGGCCTCTCCTTTTGCTTCTCCCTCCGATAATCCAATCTATCTATAATATACCTGATAAATATAAATATCAAATATAAATTAAAATATAGTAAATAAATAAAAAGGGGAAAAAAAAAAGAAAAAAAAACACAGGGCTGACAAATTTTCTTACACACACATACACAGTTACACACACTCTCTCTCTCTCTCTCTCTCCTGCGGTTTTTTTTCTCTCTCTCTACACAATACATGTGATGTCCCCTGGTAATAAGAGTTAAGGGGATGCAAACAAAAGAATTGGTGGGACGGGATAGACCGTTGGATGCGGGACACGTGGCGAGGTGGTGATGAGGGGGTGGGTCTGCGGTTCGGTTCGACTGTGGGAGCCAGGCTGGGTCTGTTTGGGTTTTGGTTGGTCCAATTGATGATGATGGCCTTTGTTGCCCTTTATTATTTATTGTTTTGCTTTTTATGCTTTTTAACTTATTTTCTGTTTCCTTTTTGTTTTGGTTCCTTCGTGTGGCTATGGGATTTGTAGGTGGTTTTTTTTTAATTATTTTTTTTTTTTATTTTAGGTGGTAGGGACTTCAATTTTGGACCGTCCTCCTAGTATTAGGGCTAACAAAATTGGCTGGTAAATTCACTTGTTCTTATGTTTACCATGTTAAAATTAACTTCCGTATTATGTGCGTCAATATATTGGTCAAACAGTAAAAAATTCGATTACTGTAATGACTTCGGTAGGAGTATCTACCAGGGCGAAACTAGAAAATTAGTTGAGAGGGAGCAAAAAAAAATGACATAATGGTTTCAAAATTTAACCATAATGGGTTCAGAATCTATAACATTTTGGTAACTGATTTTCGGTTGCCGTTACACATAAGTTGGATCAGTTCGATTTATTTTCTCATCGGTTCAGTTTATTTTCTCATCAGTTCGGTTCTGTTTTCAGTCAAAAAATAATAACCCTTGCCTGGGGAATAAAAGAGAGTTGAAGTCTTTTATATGGGTCAATTAAAATTGTAGAATGATAATAATTAACATACAAAATTAATAGTAAAATAAAAAAGTGTTGAATTGTTAATTAATAGTAAAATAAAAGAAGTGTTGAATTGTTAGTTGATAATTGTGGACAAGTTGACCTTGTGAGTGACAGTTTAAAAACAAAAAATTTAGGGGTACAAAAATAAATTTAAATGAGGGCAAATTAAAATTTTGTATATTAATAATAAAAAATTTAAAAATTTGAGGGGGGGCAATTGCCCCCTACTAATACATGTAGGTTCGCCCATGGTATCTACAATGCATAAATGTTGTTATTATATAATTTTTGACAAATGTCAATTAATTAGATGGATTGTAAACCACATAAGATAATTATTAAGTTCACAACTTTAATTCTAAAAAATTGTCTCCAATGGTCAATATAATCAAACACAATATTGTCCACTTGGCCCAAATAAAAAATTTATAAGAAAGAAAATAAATTAAATAATTATATATTTTAAAAATTGTAATAATATTTCTCTCTCCTCTTTCCATTGGTTGAGTAGAAAGTGAATGAGAATGTGGATGAATCACTTTATCCTCTACATTGTAGACATTAATTATGTTCACCTCATCACTACATTTGTAATAACATTGTACACTGGAGGATTAAAAATGGATAAATGGTTAAATATGTTAATGTAGAGAGTAATTTAATACATCTACATTTAAGCATTGGAGATGCTTTAAGTATTGACCCAAGGTATGTAAAATCACCAAAAAAGTCGACTCTTCCTTAATGTGAATATATAACTGGTCGAAATTCAATAATGTACATCATCGGATATACTCGCGGCATAGTAGACATAGTGCCTTGAACTATTCTTCCATAATGTACACCAAGACAATGACATTTCAACCAATATAGCTTTAACTTCATTCCGTTCTATTGTTGTGTCCGTTTTGGCCATGGAGAACACTTTGAGTCGTCAGTACTTACATGTGAAGCGGCACTCACTTTACAGTTATACAGGTGACATTTCCATCAAGAGTATCATGCATTATTCCATCGTTACTATATTTTTTTATATTCTATAATTATTTCAAATAAACTATTATTAAATTTACTCATTATTTTATGGACAAAATAAGGGAAGAGTCGCATCATATCTCAGCTTCGACTATAGAGTTCAATCACCTATTTTCTTTTAATAATAAAATAATAGAATACTACGGAACTTGAAACGTAAATTAATTTTCTTTTGGCCATGCCGTGCACATGGGAAAGGTAATTTTTCTACTAAGTATTAAAATAAATCTTTGATCATACCAGATTATCGGATTAATCCATCATTGAATAATTGGAGTTGATTATATATAATTTGTCTAGTTGATCGTATTTTTTTTTTTTTTTT